AGTAATAATTAATCGATGGTAAAATGGGTATTAGCGCCTGCATTCGTTCCTGTTTCTTTTGAGATAGGTGAATTGATTCGAGATTTATGAAGCCCAGTTCATTTACATTGATTATTGATTAAGAGAAAAATTCCATTTTTCCAGCTAAGGGCGATTCGCTGTTCATAGATACGATGCGGCAATTATTTGTTTTCTTCTACAGTTCTACAGTTATATTCACTTCTTCCTGGACACTACGTGCATCCAGCATTCAGTATTTGTTCTTTCCAATTAGATATAAAGTGTTAAATGTCCAAGAGAAATCTTGCGAATATAAGTTATGGTATGAAACTGCGCCATTTTGTCGCATCCGGCAGTTAGAGGCATCTTCTGTATTTATTTTTGTGTTTAAAGCTTCTCTAGTAATTTGGTCTTGTTTGTTTGAACGATTAGTGTTTAATATCTCTGTAAATACGAGTTGGAAAAGTGATGAAATTTCATTGAGAAAAATCTATTATGCAATGAAATGCTATTTACGGTAGAGTATTTTTTTTAAAGGCGTACAGATCAAACGGTTCTTTGATTGACAGAAACCTAATTATTGGCCGTGTTTTGCATTTACCTACAGCTGACTTTCATAAAGCTGAGAGTTATGTTGAATTTTTTAAAGAAAGATCTTTCAAAGCTTCAAGTAATACGATATCGATAATATGTTTAATGTTTTTAGAAAATGGGATTATAAATGATCACTGTTCTGCTTCTACGATTCGGTTATTTATTGGATTCTATCAGGTGATAAAAGCGGTAATACAACATACGTTTGTATGTTTACGTATGAGTGCATTTTGTTTGATAAACAGTTTTGACTTTTGTATTTTTATACATACACTCGTTTTCATATTAATGTGTCCATGAAAGGAATCATTTTAAGCTGACAACCATGCAAAAATTTAAACAATCCTAACCTTAATCTTGTCCACAAAAATATTTTTTTCAAATAAATATAAAATTAACAACGTAATTAACATAGGGTAGCAAACATAAAGATTTTTGTCATTATTGATGTGATTAAATTTGTCCTGAATGACATTAATGGCATTTTTTGTGTGAATCAGCGAACAGTTAAAGATGCATTTAGATTTCTACAACCTACTTGATGCACATTAAAATGAAAAAAGAGTATACATCATATTTTTATGTATCGTCACCATCAACAAAGATGGCATCATCAGAACAAATTTTAATGAATTATTTTTTCTGTTTCAAATCTTCACAAAGTATTGATTATTATTAATAAATTCACCTAATATATTTTTTTGAAAATTAAAAATATTTTTTACAACCGAAAACGGTTGTTTTAGGGACTCATTTGAGTTCTTAAAATGAATCTTTTCCGGACCTAATAAAATAATACGCAAAATTGTTATTTTAGGTACTCAGTCCCCAAATTGCAAATTTTTAACAATGTAGCAAAGCACTAGTACTAGTTGAAATCAACATGGTAAATAATGTTTCTTGTATTTTTTAACAAAAATTGTCTTTTGTAAAACATAAAATTGCCTTCTAGTGCACAAACTCTGTTATTTAATAAACGGGCACTAATGTGTGTAGTTATAACATTGTTACAGTAATTTTATGTGAAAACACAATTATGTAAAGAGTACAAAGAGCCTATTTTAAAACAAAGAAACAAACAAAACTTATTTATCACCTATGTTTTCTCGTTGCTTAAGCAATAACACTGATGGTTTTCAGGTGCTACGATTTTTTTAAATATCATTAATGCAAGAATTTTGTAATTAGGTCTATTAAAATAGGTATCTGAATTTTGATTAAGGTGTGAGATCATCAGATTTGTTTTCGGTTTTGGTTTCTATTGACAAATGTGCTAAATTTCTAGTGGGTTACTACAGAAAAAAACTAATTTTTTGTTTAGTATTTTTATAGAGCGTGACATCAATTTAAACTAAATTTGTACTAAATCAGATCTTGTCTGTCAATGTTTACTTGAATAAATCTCCGTGAAATGGGCCGGTTTTGGTATTTCTCTTTTTAGATGTAATTTCATTCCATCTACTATAAAAATTCGTTTCCAATATATCTTTGTAACGAGTTGTACAGATGTTGACTTCCTACCGTTATTTAAAAGAAAATTGTTTAGCATTTTCTAACAACTAAATTGCTCAGCGTTTCTCCATTGAGAAATAAATATATTTAATCAAGTAGCAAAACAAACAACAAGAAACTGCAACAATTTTGTATTTGAATTGGAATGAACACCTGGAGAATGTATATAATAAAAATTGTCGAGTTTACCGGATTTATAGCGTAGTTAGAACCAAGCATGTGCAAAACTTAATTCTAGTGCTTGGAAACTTGCTCGTTGTTGACATTTTGGCCATAATTTTGGATTAAAATTTTTACTAACACTTATATTGCATATCACTGGTTAACGATCGGTCATACATTGTGGAATAAGATGGTTATTCTCTGCTTAAATAAATTACTGTCATTGTAAGTTTAAATGAAGGAAAAAACAACTTTTTTACTACCACTTCTTACAACAATCTTTATTTAATTTACAAACATGGCTAATGAAACTTCAAAACTTAAGCGATTAATGAGTACATCTTTTAGGATTATGCGATGCGATCATGAAATCAGTAGCAAATATAAAATGGGATGTGTATGAAATTAATAAAGTAATAAAGTTTCTCAGGTTTTGTTTTAAAAACACTTTAGGAATTAAAAAGAAGCTAATATTTAATGTAAGTTTACTATCAAGCACCATAATCATTTGATCAAAAAAGTCTATTAAGTTGAAGTATTTTTGATATTAACATAAAAAACAAATTAAATTTATACACAAAAAGAAAGCTTTCAAAGTTACGTTTATAGCAAAACAAAATTAGTAATCATACCGACAGTAAGTAGACAATTTTTTTATTGAAAGTAATTAAATGGAAAATATCTTCGCTGTTATAGTTTTATTTATGAATATCTATTATCTACACTTCATCGAGCAGTAGGTAACATCTAACCTGATATTCTTTTAAATATCCATAAATACCGTTTTATTTCTATTTCATTGCTTTAAATACAGCAGGTATTTTCCCCTATTCCTTTCTAATAATAATTATAGCAACAAATTATTATTGTCAATATCTAATTATAACTTAAATATCCACATTGTTTATATTCAACATCAATCAATGAGACATGTACTTTCTTAGCAACTTATTAATGTCGTAAATGTCCCTCATATGTGGGTCACAAAAAATAATAATTTAATGGTAATTCTAACAAATTAAAACCACATGCGTAAATGCTTATGCATTCCATCCTACCAATTTTGACGAAAATCAAATCAACATGGATTTTTCCTCGTATTTTTTTAAAGAAAGAGATTTTTTTACAGGATAAGTTACTGTTACCAGTTTTTTGCTACCATTATTCTACAATCTATATAATACGTCAGAGTACTTTGAAAGAATTATTGAATACTCTAAAAACACATTTTTCAGAAAAGTTTTTTACAACTAGTGTTAATGTATATAGTTTTGATATCAAAGAGAATTTTCAAATACCTACTACTCTACCAGGTAAGGTGTTGATGTTTTGACATAATAGTATATTATGTAACTAGTGTTATAAACGCCACTTGAGACATGAGATTTATTATTATTAGGCACAAGCGAAGCGCAGCGGAGCGAGTGTTTAATAAAACGAATGTCTAGAGAAGTTTATACACGTGTTACATACTATACTTTTTCTACGATCACCACAAAAAATTACTTCAATTAACAATAAAAATAAAAAAAATAATATTTGTAGGTACTTAATTTTAATTTAATTTGGTATTATAGTTTACCTTTGTAAATAGGTATTCCTTAGCAGGAGCAGACGATAAGAATTCTTTAATTCACTGTTTTCCACTTTTTAGATTTATAACCAACAAATTTACCCTTCAGGGAGGTACACAATTTGGCATATTTGCTTATGCAAATTTTGTTTTTTAGGTTAAGCGTCATCCGCAACATTAAGTAGACTGTCCACAAGGAAGACGGTTTCATCCTTTTCGAAAGATCTTGAAAATATGCAAGCAGCACATTCTCAGATAATCTTGGAAAAGAAAAGTTTATATGCACGTTCGTATGACTTTTTGATTTTTCCGGCAGCAAACAAGCAGTTGGGAGGCTGCTGCTTCGATAATCACGGGTACAGTGCAAATTCCAATAAAAACATCATCTTCACTTTCATTTTCACTCATTTTTCACAAGCCGCAGCCCCGTCGAAATGACAACTGACAGAAGCAATAAGTAATATTCTTCTTGCTGGCAAACTTTAAATTACAGTCGACGAAAAATTTGCTACTCGCGTCACAACATTTTCGTTTCGTGGAGCCAGATTCACACTCGAAAAATTATTAGAATTACAGAAAGCTAACTTCAGCCTGTGACTAATATGACAGTTGCTATTAGCAACGTGACTAATGCGCATAAAAGTTACGGCTTGTTAAGGTGTGTCACTTAGCGTCATGGAAACATATACCATAATCCGTGTTTTAGATGTGGGAGTAGAAAAACTATTTTAATAATTAGGTAGTAACTGATTTTCGGTACTGAAACATCACAAACCCTACAGAATATTCTAATCTAAACACATTTCTTATAAACGTGGTACTAAAAGCTAATTGTTAGTGTCAGAAATTACAGCGAAAGAGAGTATAAAAAAGTGTTGTTTCTCTGTTTGCACCCAAAAGTTTTCCTGTGTTCTTCGAAGGTTTTACCACTGAGCTAATTTGCTCCGAGTGTTTACGGCGTATATAATTAGAGAAAGGGTGATGGTCGGCTCTCGATTTCGTCAATGAAGGGTGACGGCAAATACTGCTATTTCGGCGAGAGCAAGGAAGACGGCACATGAAAGCTGGAAAGCTCTTCCATCCAACCACTCGCACTCTTCTGAATCCGAAACTGGATGGATGGTGGGTACGGCTCTTTATTCGTCGTTGCATTCTCATTCAGTTCACGGCGGTTGTTCGGTCGGTGGGTCTATGGACGGACAGTCTCTTTGATCAGATTGGTGATTAGGCCTCGCGCTTCACATTAAAGAGTCTCTCGCGCTTTCGGCAACTTTACTTTTTCAGAAATGCGCCGAACTTTTTCTCTCGAGTGATGAGTGATGAGGGTGCTGCCTGCCACTGCTGCTTTGTGACAAGTTGCCTTTTTCGTTTCTTGCGGATTAATTTGCCAATTTAGGTGAGCCGTTCGGAAATTTTACGATTATTTCATCTCGAGCGGAAATTGACTATTTTACCTACAGCAGAGATTGCTTGGGATGGTTAAGTGACAATCAACGCAAATTTTGCTATTTGAAATTGTACAAAGAGAAGGGCGTAATTGGTAATTGGAGAATTTAGTCACAGAGTGATGAGAACAGCTTTGATTCCAAACGTGATTTATAACATATTGAAATGAATTGACTGCAAAATAATTTTAAAAATATTCAGACCCTGAAAAATACTTCTCAAATCAAAGCACGTCCAAATTATTTAATAATAAACTCTTTACTCGTATTTTGAAACCAAACTCTACAGTGCGATAACAACTCGTAAAATCACCTTTATTATCGAAACTGAAGTAATAAATGTTAAAAAATATTAAAACGTATTGTGGAAATTAAAATTATAACAATGAAAAGAAATAAAAAACAATATTTGTTATAATTGTCACAGATTTTTATTAAATCAAAATTTGTATAGTCTATTATTTTTTTTTTGGCTTAAATTATTGAAAAATTACGATGATGTTGCGGTGTAAAGCGAATGAATTGGCTCTTAGGGCCGATTTACAGAAAGTGAATTAAATTAAATTTGCTCAACGTTAAATTAATCTCGAATTTGATTGCTTTTAGATTTTGTTAAATAAATATTTTTAAAGCAAACTAATCGTAAGTTGTAAATTATAAATTACATAATCAATGTAAATTACACAGAAAACATTGAAGATAATAATTATTAGTACCTATGTGTATTATTGAATAAAGTAACAAAAATTGTGTATTTAACTGTTTTGCGAAATTTTAAATCAAAATGTTGATAAACTCGGAAAGACAAGGTAATTTTGAGTGTTTGAAACGTAAATCGGACAGAAATCATCTTTTTTAAAAAAATAGCAACGAAACTCTTTGTTCTTTTACTACAAAAGAAATTATTCTTGAAAATATTCTTGCGTTATTAGGGTAGGGGTAATGTATTGTTCTGTTTTTGTTTAGACTTTATATTTAATTATTGTTTTATGAGTTGAGATCTCCAAATGGAGATTAACAAAAACCTTAATTTTTTAAGTACAAATTAATTTTTTGTTATAGAACAGTGCTTTTCTTTCTCTTTTTATACAGTGATAGAAATACAAAAAATTGTATTTCTACATGACTGATCAATCAGTTTTATCGTAGAAATGGTAAAGTTAGTTGTATGTACTATAATTTAGAAAACTTAATAGCATTGTTACTAGTTTTTTGATAACAATAATAATCACCTATAAAGTACTAAAATAGTAACTTGTGATAAAACAGCTAGTACGACAGGTTTCTGGGAGGTACTACTTGTTTGGGGCAACAATAAAACTCAATGTATCGCTGAAATTGATTCTTGCATGTGGCTGTAACTAAAGTAGACTTTTATATGTTAAATGAGTATTAAATACAATTAGAGTTGGCAGAATTTTGTCATAAACTAATCGAAAAAAAAATTAATCCATAGTATTCTTTTAGTTTTGTGACTATAATAGCTTTATTTGATTTAAATTAGATTCATTATTTAATTATTGTTAAATATTGTAATTAGAAATTTTTAGCAGTAGGTAACAAGCCATAAAGTGACAATTCCTGCAATAGCGGTCATTGATAAAGCTGGACAGGTTTATTATTGGTGGCATTTTCTTGAAGCAATAATAATAATTAGTACTGCCTCAATAAAATAGATTTACATTTATAAATTATCGTTTACGCTTGTGCTTAATCAGTTATGTCAAGTTTTTAATTGCCACTTGTAGCTGTTTGTCTTTTTTTCCAAAAAACACGTTTCCATCAAGCATATTTTTAATTCGCAAACGCATTTTATAACGTATTGTGTTCCTTTGTAAATAGTCGTAAAACGCACGCCTTTTACTGTCGATTTAAAAAGTAATAAATCATCTCAGGATCAGAAAAATTATTAAAGGGATAATATTTAAAACAAGGCTTTTTAAATCAGTTGAAATAATGGAGAGCAAATCCTCATGTTGTAACTCACGTTCGTGCGTACTTATTTTTAATTTGAGGAAATAATGGTCTTATAGACAATACTGTTAGATCAAAGCCCGAGTCAGTGCGGTTTTAATTAGGCAATAAAATGCCAGCTCATAGTTCTCATAAAGGATTATGTTCTTTACTCCACGTTTGACGTTTCCTATAAACATCACGGCGTAAATGCTCTTTTAATTGTCGCAAATTCTAAAAAAGTCAAGTACTTGCGTTTATATAATACCGCTAGACCATTGGCATTCTTAGGTCGTCTGCTGCAAAAATCATTCATAAAAATACTCGAGGAGAAATCGGAGTCATGAGAAAATTTGGCCGTAAAAGGTTTCATTTCATGGTTTTTGAACACGAGACGGAATAAAACAGTGTTTTTGGTAACAGTTACGAAGAAAAAAGGATTTCAGTGGAACCGTTGTTGGTATTACTGTTGGGCTTTTATTATCGCATTGTGATTTCGTCTGGCGGAAAAATCTCGGAAGCTTGTATTCAATTACAACCGTTAAATTCGTGTAATTAGTTCGTTAGAGCTCAATTTTACTTTCTAATGATTACCTTCTCCCTAATTATGCGGTTGGTGGAGCTTCCACTATTTGGTAGCGTAATAACTATTTGCTACCGACGATAAATATTCTGTTTGGTTCATTCACAAATGTTGTAAATTTTGTAAAAATATTCAAAAAATTCTCTTGATATTTAATTAAAGATAATTCTAACGGAAACTGGGTGTGAACGCACATTTACTGATCTTAATCACTTAAAGAAACATTTCCTTTTGTTTAATATTGTTGGCCTAATAAACTAATTAAAGGCACGTCAAAATTGTATCCTTCCTTTGCAAGTAAAAGTGCATAAATCATTTTAAAATAAATAAATAAATCAAATTCCTTTCTTATTTTTGAACTAATTTTTCTTTAAATGCCAATACTAAAACAGTAAATTAGATAGTTTTGAAACGACACGCATTTATGATAAATGCATCATAGTTCAGCATAAATTGAAACTTTGAAATGTTAGTGTTCAGAAAATATTGCCGGTCCGGTGGTAGTTATTGTAATTTATTTGTTCTTCACTTCCTAACATAATACAGAGGTGCGTGATAAATAAACCCGTTGAAGAATCGAAATATTTTCCGTTACTGTACTCAAAAAATATGTTAATTGGGTTCTATCAAAAATTTGCATTTACCTTTGTTGATAACTTTCTAGGAATTCGGAACAAGCCAATTTATCTAATGTGAAATTTGACTGTTGGGGGTCATCTTTGTTCTAACCGAGGTAAATTCTTTGTGCATAAAAAATCGATTAATTTATTAGAAAATTTCCTGTTGGTTTGTGGTAAGGGGTTCACACAAACAGGTCGTGACCAGAGTTTGAATTGAGGTTACAAAATTGTCCATGTTCGGCGTGTTTTGAAAGCAAATAATGGACTTGGAATTAATGATCATAAATTAGAAAAACGCAGCTTTTATGCTAATTTTAGTAGTTGTATAGGTGCGAATTTTCACTTAAAAACTTGTAAACTTTGTTTTTATGTATACATATTTGTTTCTGTAATACGAAATGATTTTAAATGTCTATGAATTAATGAATAAGACACAAACAACTTTAGCCTCGGAAATAATAAAAAAAAATAAAAAAAATAACGGCTTTAAGGCAGATTTCAGTAATGAAATTGCTTAAAAATACAAATAGTCTATTTACTATGGTATCTTTTTTAACGATTTCTAATTAGGCTTTATGCTGTCGAAATATTTATACTCGTATCTGATGTGGAGAAAGTATGTTCAAACTGTTCATTTTTTGAAAAAAATAGTTTATGATTAACAAGTTAAAGTTTTTAATAAATAACTTTTTTAAATTTTATTTTTTCAAAATATTGTTTTAATTTCTTAATGTGAAATTTCAATATATATAGTTGCTTGTTAGTAACAGTTTAGTAGTGAAAACCTAAGTGTAAATTTTTTCTTATATATAGTATAATAATTTGTGTAATTAACATAAAAAATGAAAAATAATTGTTGTCCGATGATTTTGAAATTGATGATGAAAAAAGATCTAAACAAATTTTCTTAATAACTTCTTGTCGTATTTGCCACATAAGACAAAAAAAGACACTTTACTATACAGGATGCGCCAGAACTCGCGCCCCAGAGAAAAATGCCATATAAGGTAAGATACCAGGAACATAAAAAAAAAGTTAAAAAAATCTATAAAAATTTCGAAGTTAAGAGGGTTTAAATTTTGCACTTTGACTCTATTTATTTCTGTTGGAAAAATAATTTTCTAAGTTTTTTTGCTACAGTCTATTAGAAGAGAAAACAAGGAAGCTGTATCCTAAATTGTAACTCTGTTCAATGTCATTTCTGGCTTTTACTTGCAAAATTTTTGTACCTTAACTAAATAATTGTAAAAAAAATATATACAAGATCATCAGAATCATTAAATACACACAAAAAAATGTTAAATGTCAAAATATAAATGTCAAAATTTTTTGACAGATAGAATTTTTTAAACATTTTTTCCATGTTTTTATTGTTACATCTCAATTAATTAAATCAAGTACTAATTTCTCAATTTTCTGATAGTAAAAGGTTGTTTTTGAATTTATTTGCTTTTTGAATTGTATCTCTACTAGTTTAACAGGATTTTTATTTTTTTTAGATTTATTTTGAAATAAAAATACCCCCTTTTTCAACAATTCATCTTCATTTTGCTTCATAAATTCGCAGTTTAAAAAGTCATCTCACGTGAGCAGTCAACCTTCAGTCTTTCCTAGTAGTTAGCGTTTAAAACAAAATTTAAAATCTCTAATACCCTAATTGCCTCATTATTGTAGCACAACAATCTACATGCGATATAATTATTTTACTTTTATTACTCTTTAATACCTGATTAATATAATTGCATCTACCTGAAGTTACTAAAAAGCTTGTCTTATTTTTGAAAAGGTAGGTATAGTAATTGGTTCGTCAGGTGTGCAAGTCCATTAGTGAGTAGCCTCAATGTTAAAAATTCTTTGTAATTGCCGGTCAATAAATATACCGCAAAATATATGACCCAAATGATTGTTGTGAACAGGGCGAATGCAACCGGGAAACATAAATCGCGTTAATTATGATTAACCAGGCCTGACAGCTATATTGCAATGATAGATATTTTGAATTATACGTTTATTTCTTCTCTACCGACAAAATGTCACAATTAATTTGATTTCCTTTCGCACTTTTTCGCCGGTGAATAACTCGCATTATTGAGACGAGTGTTCCGAATTCAGATCTCTCTGATTATCTGTGCAGAACGATTTTAATTAATAAAAAACGGTTGATCTATCTTGCTGAATGTCATCAGACAAAAGCCTGTGACAGTGACTGTTACAAATGGTTCCGATTAAACATAATTATCCAAGAGTCGTAATCGGATAATTGTCGAAGGCTCGAAATTAAGGGAGTTTTATGTTCTTTGTACGCCGTGATTTTACCTTTACGTTAATTAATGTTGATAACTTGCACCATTAATAATACTGGACACTGCATTCTTGTTTGATGTTTTTCAGCAATCCGTCAGTATTAACGACTGACGTCTTCTGGAGTGCGCGTGCTTTGAGCTTAATGCATCATACAAATTGCATTTTGTACATCTAATAGCGGGATTTGTTGATGCTTGTTCAAACAAGAAAACCACTCGTAAATCACTTGAGTAATCTAGATCTGTTTTGTTAAACACAGGTGCCATCAGTATTATACATCGTCGTGTCGGTTTTGGTCCTTGTTTTCTGTTAAAATTTTTCTTTAAAAACTAATATTTATTGAATAAAAAAAGATTTGTATAAAGAGTGTAAACAATCGTCATTAATTGTTATGTTTTGTTGCATTCTTAGGTTTAAGCACTCCTATTTTGTTTATCTTACTTTGTGTTCTAAAATTCTTTTATTTTAATAATATTATTTATTCTTTTTTAAGTTATTTTTTGATTTTACTTTTTATTGTTATTTCTAATAAGCTTTTGCTTTTCCAAGTTTTTATCTTTTTATCATTGTAAAAAACACTAATGAACCAACTTAAAAATGTTTCTAATTTGTTTAATTGAGTAAAATTTAACATGCAAAATTTCGTAATCTTTTTTAGATACCGAATTATCTCGGGAACTATGTATAATAGATTCATTACTGACAGGTTAGGTATAATAAATGTGCCAAATTGATCTTTACACACAATTTAAAATCATGATTAACAGACAATTTAATGTGGTGATTTGAAGCAAAAAAGTTCTTCATTACTTCTTGATATATACAGTATGTCTCTGGATTGAGTTTACAAGAGGAAAAAAAATATCTTTGATCTTGTAATCTGTAATAAAAACTTCATTATTCTTACTCAGTAGAAAGAAAAGTTTATTTTTCTCTTGATTTTGGACTTTTTCTCTTCTTTTTAAGACCTATCATATTGTTTTGACAATGATGTCACTTTGAAAAATGAATATACCTATAAGCAAGTTAAGTAACAAAAATGTTTGTGAAAAATTTAATTTTAATAAATATCAACTTAAAGAAACAGCTTTAAGATAAAAACCAGTCATTTTTAACAAGAACTACCATTATTTAATTAATAAATTAATTGTCAAAGTGAGATATAGTTGTCAAATAAATAAAACCGCCAATGTGATAGGACTTACTAAAAAGCAGAGAAAATCAAGAGAAAAATTAACTTTTCTTTTCATTGTATCAGAATAATGAAGTTTTAAGTACATCAGATTTGCTCGTTTCAGGTGAAGCAAAAAATCAAGGATAATTTTTTTTTCTCACAAAAAATATTATCTCTACTGCAAAATTTGAAAAAATATTTCGACTTAAATTTTTAGTATTAATAAAATCAATAATAAAAGATATTTTTGAACAATACTAAATAAATACTAAATCTAATTTTCATGCCTGTTTCTTCTAGGTACAGTTTTAACTCTGAAAGTGATCAAATTGGGCAGTTTTCAAAGTATTATAACTTTTACGTTAAAATGTTTTAATAGCAAATTATTTACTCTGAACTAAACAAACTGAAAATTTTTTCAGAAATAATATGATTTGGAATTCTTTAATAAGTTCTGTGATTTTTCGGTGTCAGGTAATTAACTAGAACTTGCAGAACTTGCTCACAATATGCAGAATGAGTCATCTACTTAATTAATTTTAATAAAGTAATAAAGACTAATCGATTTTCAGACGCCACTGTATGAAATTTTTAAAAGATATGAACAGACAGGGTGTTACAGAACTCGCGCCCCAGAGAAAAATGGTAAGATACCAAGAACATAGAACAAATGTTAAATAAATCCTATCTATAAAAATTTTGGAATTATGGGAGTTTAAATTTTGCACTTTAAAAACATACAAGGTCATCAGTAACACTCAATATACATAAAAAATGAAAAAAAGAAATATAATTTTTTGACAGATAGAATTTTTTAAACATTTTTTTTATGTTCCAGATATCTTATCTTACTTTGAATTTTCCTCTGGGGCGCGAATTTTGAAATACTCTGTATATACATAAAAACTGTCAAAACAGTTTTTATAAATTGACGTTCTACCTTTGACTGTACAGACTTAGCCCCGGTATTTATCTGACATTCTCCATACAGGGCGATTCAGATAAGATAATGACCCTGACGATCTGGCGACGCAACCCAAAAATTAACAAATTTTATTTACGTCTTTGATCCATTTAAATTAGGATTTGCAAGTTGAATCCAAGTTATGTCACTCTGACATCAACGCAAAGAACCATCATCATTAGTACCATTCAGTTATAGCGGAATGATAGCGAAATTAGAGAAGTTTTTTTGGTGTAAACCCAGTAGGGGAAGGCGGGGCAAGACGGGGACCTTAACGTTTAAAGTCGAATAAAAAACTAAATATACATCATAGAAGTTCGAAACTCTATTTATCAACTTAATCAGTCTTCTCTCTGTTAGACTATAATACAAAAAATAACAAAAATTATTATTTTCTTTAAATAACGAAAAAAAGAAATAAAAATACTTTTACCCCATCTTGCCCCACCCTTGGGGTAAAATGGGGTCCCCCATTGGGCAAGATGGGGTACTACAGTTTTAAAGACTGCGTCTTCATCGTCGTCATCGACGCCAGCGCAGCCCCAATGTGCCCACTTCCCACATAGCTGACATGTGATCCATCCTTCTTTGCTGTAGCAATTATCTTGGATCTCGATTTGGGCACAATAAATAATCCAGTTTCATCACAATTATAAATTTTATCCGGAGTAAATTTATATTCATTCAAAGCTTTTCCTAACAGATCAAAAAACTTTCCCACCGACACTCTATTAAATCCCGCAAGTCCAGCAGCAGAAGTATTTTCTGGTTTCCGAAGACTTATTTCTGGATGACGCTTAAGAAATCCTTTAACCTAATCTTTACCAGATTTTGCCTTGACTTCACTGAACTTATGTTGCTTATTATTGACCACTGCCAATTGATATGCCCCATACCCCATTTTACCCCAACGAGACCTTGTAGGTAAAAAAAAAATATTCATTTTATAAATGGACAAGTACTCGTAATCGTGTAAATAACTAGTCTAACGTCAAGTTTAAAGTACAGGGATTGCAATAAAACGATGTTGTTCACATCACAACCTATGTATTTTTAACAGTCACGTTCGAAACACAATAGAAAAATAACATCAAATAATAAAAAAAACATTTTTTACTCACAGCAACGTTATGTGTTATGCTCAGGTTCTCGCTTTTGCCGCAGTGAAAAGTTTTGAGATACTTCTACAAAATAACGTTAACAGTTTTATCAAAACTGTTTTTGTTTTTGAGATATAGTGGGTCTTACCCCTCGTTCCCTTACAATATGAATGAAACATTAACGGTAGGCAAACAGTTTTTTTATAAATCATAAAATGGTTGTCAAAGCACTGTCAGAGCAACATAAGATAACATGGATTGCAAATGCTAATCTTAATTAAAATTAGATCAAGACGTAAATGAAATTTATTTTTTGGGTTGCATCGCCAGAACGTTGGGCTCATTATCTTATCTGAATCACCCTGTATACAAAGTTATGTCAGTTTTTTCTTCGTATATTTTGAATTCAAAGGAAAAAAATATGGATTTTTCTGTCAAATTTAATGAATGACATATCAACAACTACTTTGATTTAATTTTAATAATCTAAATTTTTTATACATAAAAAACCAAGTTGTGTGTGAGAATGTATTTTGGATTACATCTGAAAATCGGTTAGGTCCTTTATCATAAATAACTCACTCTATCAGTCAAAAGATCTTTACTTTTTCTTTACTGCCTAAGTGTAATAAAATTAACAATTTTTCATTCTTCTCTTGCAATATAACCAAATAATACCCTCATCAACAATAGACAGTCTTATTTCCTCCTATTGCATTTTCAACTTTCTCTCGTCATATTATTTTGGTTTTATGCGTTGTTTGTTTGTCAGAGTTAATTTATTGTACCGATAATTTAACATGTCCTGCTGTGAAGATTAGTACGCGTCTAGTTATTAATTTAGATTTTATGCAGACAAATTTCATTAATTTAATCCTATGAACGTTTGGATTTTAATTTGAAGCTTTTATATTTCAGAAAAATGCGGCTCATGGAATTGTCCGGGAGAAAATCTAGTGCAATGCAGTTTTTCTGTTACATCGTGCTGAGCATCTTCTCCATAAATTCAACGGGAGCAGCACGGAGGTCGCCGATAAACGGCACATGGATGTAAGTTATGTCTATTGACTTTAATGAAAAGTTTTATTTCTGTATCATTAACATTTTATGCTTGTGCACTCCGCTAATTACGTTTTTTTCCATTAATAAAAAAAGAAAATATTGTGTAAAGTTTTGTTGGTAAACAGGTCTAAATGCATCATACAAGTAATTAACATGATTCAGATTGACAGTAGATAGGTGGATGTGTGCATTTTAATGATCTTAGTTTATAGTGGTTATCAAGTTTTTTATTAAATGTAACTGAGAATGAAAGTTATGTTGCCATTGGTGTCAAAAGTTAAAACCAGATTCGATAAAGCCATTTATTAAATTTTAATAATAAATTTTTAATGCTTTATGTGAAACTTAAATTTACAATGTCAACATTCTCCTCACTCACTCACTCGAACACGCCTGCCTGCATTCCGAAAAATCTGATTTTGTAATAATTATTATTTATAAAGCAAATGCACCTGCATTTCTGATTGACTTTTTCGATTCAGTAACACAGTGCAATAAATCAGCGGCATAATAGCCGGCGAATCTACAGCAATAAATTTCAAATTGAGGTCGACTGCAAACAACTCTTTTAAAATCATTATCAAAATCATATTTTATTATACTTAATTGTGAAACGTTAAATTATTAGGTGCAATTAAGTATCATGTCAGCGTGAAAATTCTTCAAGATTTATATTTCTGCCCCTTCAAATTTGATAAGCGATTAAAATATCTGCCAGCTGTGCGAAAGCTCTACAGTTTCTCAATGAAATGATGAAAAAACACTGGAACATAAGATTCGAATAGAAAGGTTTATTAAGCTGAGAAGACATTCCGACAGTGGTCAAAGAAAACCTTCTGTCCAAGACGAGTTAAAAAACTTGACATGTGGTTAAGATTTTTAGCGGCAACTTTGAGCGTGTTATTAAAGTTTATTAAAACACTCCTTTGATGGTTTTACGACACGATAATCGGTTGCACTTTTGTCATTGTTGAAAACTTTTCTCGTAATTTGTTTTATTAAAAGAATTCTTCTCAAATCTTTTTGAAAACTTTTAAAACAGTAATTGTAATTTGATATTTAAAATGTCTGTTGATCATTAAATGTTAAGGTTTGACGATGAGAAAGCGTGAGAATTTTCTAATTACATTGAAATTTCAGAACAAATTTAATTTTATCCTTCGAGTAGTGAGATTGTGTAGGTTCTCACTATCTAAAGTAATCTCTCTTAGATAAATGGTAAAATAAGTGACAAGGACTGGACCTTGCGGTTCACCACAGTGACCATTAACATTATCTGAGTACCCTTTCAAATTGCTTTTGCTCTCGCCAACAAAGAAAATGATGTTTAACATTTTACAAAGTTTATCATAAATTTTGCACTTTTAATACCTACCAGTTCATCGATTCAATATCTTCCAAAGTCGTGCAGAAATGTTTTATTTCTGTAGATGCTTCCGACGATAATTACGTCAAACATGTTCAAATCATTAAAAATATAATTTACAATCTAGTGGCACTTATCTGTTCTTGGACAATGTCAGATGCATTTATAGATAGTGCGAATTTTATTGCGAAAGGCATTTAATTTAAAACGAAAGTTTATTAAATATATTAAAAAGTGAACACATTGAATCTATCTGTGGGGCTGCCAACATTAGTATTCTTTAGTGTCCACTTCCCCCAACACCCACTGTGAATTTCAATAGCATTGTGTTCTAAATGCACTTTTAATAAGTTGAGCTGTAACAAAAGAGTTTAATTTGAGTTCTTTTGCTATTTTAAAATTGAATCAATTTTGGTATATGAATAATGTTCAATTTATAAATTAATATTCTTCAATAGAATTTATTTTTGTGTTTTCATTGGAAGGGGTAATATTGCATTAAATGACTCAATTAAGTCGCCAGCCGTGTATCATCCTTTAGATTATAGTATCGAAGCAATTACCATATAAGATTATAAATGGACTTGTAATTAAGAAGAAAAGTTTGTTTAATTTCGTTTGAGTTTTATTGTAAATACAGATGGGTAATTTAAATTATTTCAAACCGGTGTGTGGCATCATAAATAAAATAGGTAATGAACTGAAGTAATAAATTATGATTCATAATAGCCGTCGTTTAGACAAAGAATAATTTAGTGACTTTCGAATCAAACAATTCAAGGGTTGGTCACATAATATGAATCAAGCTAAATTTGACAAAAAGCAATTAGAAATTATCCCTTCAATTTATTAACAAAAATTTATCGAAAACAATTGGAATTTTTACTACTTACTTATTTTCTTAAAAAAAAATACGTTTTTTTTATCATTGTCAACATGTGTGAAATTCTCCATTTTTTGTTTCTTGTCCTTGAAATATGTTAATCTGATTACGTAGAAGATGGTTCACAGGACAAAGGGAAATAAAAACCATTTAATTCGTCGCGATGTTTCGATACTTTTATTGTATCTTCTTCAGGCGAAGAATTTTTGTTGGTTGAGCGTGGGAAGCATGGCAGTCAAGGAAGAACTGAGACTGGCTAGCTGTTATGCCTGTATGACGGATGTTTTTTTTGATACATTGAAATATGTAATAATAATTAAAGTTGAGTTTGTTTGAAAGGGTTGGTTCTAAAATGAATTTGAAAAAAAAATCTTTTTTTGATGTTTTTTTGTGTTCCATGCAGAAACTTCTAGATTTTAATCCTGGGTACCTATTAATATCATCACACTCTTGCTAAAGAAAACCATTCACTAGTCTCAGAGAGAAAAAAATTTAGAAGTAACAGTAAGATCATGATTCACGAGGTAATAAACAAATGGTTTGATTATAGAACTTTCTCAAATTTACAATATTTATTTAATAAAAATAAAATTCAATAAAATTTTAATAAGTATACCTACGTAATATACATATAATTTTTAAAAGTAAAAAAAGTATAAAGAAAATACTAAATTTATTTATTTGTTGTGATTTGAGATTTCGCTAATTATTTTTGTGTTTCAGATCGGCACTAGGTTCCGTTTTCTATTACTTAAAATAGGCAATCTGCTTTGATCTCATAGTTCTACGTAAAAAAATTAAAAAAATACACAAAGGGTTTTTTAAGCAAAGTAGGTAATTGTTAATAAGTATAAACATATGTTGAAACTTGAAATACATGTAGCAATAATTCCCAAATTTGTTCTACCTAGAAAAACTTTAATTTCATTTCTTTGAGCTTTATTGTTTCTAGAGAAATGTGTAATTTGCATAATAGTTCAGTCAACTAGTTGTGGAATGTATGCACGGTTAAAAATGGAATTTTTGTTTTCAGGACCGTATTTGGGTTAGTTAGGAGGTAAAAATACTAATTTTTGAATGTTCTGTTACGAAAAAGATTGTTGTGTACATTAAAGCTTCCTATAAAATTTTATACAAGATAGTTTTTTCGAGTTTTTCGAAATTGTTTTCGAGATATTCGCTGGCAAATATCGCATTCTATTTCCAAATTAATTATTAGACTTAAAAAATTATTAATAAAATGAATAGATGAATGACTGTAAGGATTGTTGTAAAAGTTGTAAACATAGTGATTGGGCCGTTTAGGGTCGGCCATTATAATAATGTAAAAAACAATCACTTTAGATTTTTGAATTTATTCAAAAATTTAAGGCAATGCTGTGATTGGTCCGTTTGAGATCGGTCATTATAATAACATGAGAAGCCAGACTATTAGGTTCATTCAAAACTGTGGCGAAATTGCTTTAATTTCGATTTGCATCAATTCTTGAAATATTTTCAATTTTTTATAAAAATGGTATGTGCGTGCTCACTGTGCGGTCTCCCGCTTTCTATTGTGGTTGTAATTTGTGAGTACCTATTTTTACAGAAAATTTGCACCTTACGATTTGTTGTACATACGAAATAAAACCTTAAAATAGAAATATGAATGCTAGTGTTTTAACCATCCTGTGTGCTTGTAAACACAACATAAACTGGCGACGAGGATACGGAAATGAAAATTTTCTTTAAATATTAACATTTTCATGCAAAAACCTAACAGTAGGTATTTGCAATCTATAACCAACATTCTTCCACAATCACTTTTGCTGTAAACGTGAGATTTAGACAAAAAATGTTTTCCCTACGACCATATACGAAACTAGATTATAACGCACAATTACATATGCGCGAAAATTGGCAATATCGTTCGAGGTCAAAAACCTGTGCGATTTGTTTTCGGGTTGTGTGTTAGAAATCTAACGCATAATTCACATTCGAATGTTTTGTATTTTTTTTGATCCATTATAAAAATAAATCATTATTCAACGTATTTTTGTATCCATTATAAAAAATAAATCGTTATGAAAAAAAAGTATGTTCGTAAGAAAAAAATTATTTATGGTCGTAGGAAAAATAGTGTACAAAACTTGCAGGAAAGTGTCTAACGCACTCACGGGATTGCCTGCACTCGGCTAACGCCTCGTGCGCAGCTTTCCCGCTTGTGCCTTATTTATCACTTTCCGTGCTCGTTATGTAATATACTAATTTTAAAACAGTGCGATATTTGAAAGCGAATATCTCTAAACCTATTAAGATACAAAAAAACGAGAAGGTTGTTTTGTGGGAAATTTTATAAGCTTCAATTTAGTAAATAACCATTTTTTAAAAGAAATATTGAGGCTAAATGCAAAAGCATTTTTATTACTTTCCCCTCGCAGATGGGTTATTAACTGCGGTTAGCTAGGAGGATCCAAATAATGAGGGTCGGTTTATGGACGTCATTTTCAACTTTTCTGAGTGTACCTTCTTGGTGCTCCCCTGTTTTCGCTCACCTCAGAGAACCTCTGAATAGGGTCATTGCATCCATCCGAGTTTTTGTGTTTTTTTTACTTTTATACGTTAGAGTTTAACCTACAAAGAGGCGATCCATCAATAAAATTAACTAGGAAAAGTTTGAAATATCGTTTTGGGGTAGAATTTAAACCCAAGATAAATTCCCGCTTTACTCTAAAAGCATTACGAGTTCAGTGTTGGCACCAGTGCAGTGACAACTGACAGTGGCAAGTGGAATAATAAGGCGACTGTTTAATTACAACGTTTAAATGTACTCATTTTTGGCATCAAAATTATTATTGTATACACAGAACACAGATATTAAAATAAACAAACACAAACACCAAAGTATTACCTTAAAACAGATCTGCAATCTCCATTACCGACATTCAAACAGCCAATGAACGCAAAGGTGGATTATTACCTCACCGCAAATAAAACCCGCGCGTTTTGAATTTATTTCAATTTACGAGTTTTTGATACCTATACAGGATGCGCCAGAACTCGCGCCCCAGAAAAAAATAAGGTACGATACCAGGAACGTGGAAAAAATGTTAAAAAAATTTTATCTATAAAAATTTCGAAGTTATGAGGGTTTAAAGTTTGCACTTTGACTCTATTTATTTCTGTTGGAGAAATAATTTTCCAAGTTTTTTTTCTATAGGTTATTAAAAGAGGAAACAAGGAAACTGTATCCCAAATTGTAACTCTGTTCAATGTTATTTGTGAGTTTTATTGGCAAAAGGTTTGTCCCTTTACTAAATAATTGTAAAAAACATATACAAGATCATCAGTATCCTTAAATAGATATAAAAAATGTCAAATATCAAAAAATAAATGTCAACATTTTTTGACAGATAGAATTTTTTAAACATTTTTTTCATGTTCCTGGTATCTTACCTTACTTGAAAATTTTCTCTGGGGTGCGAGTTCTGGCGGACCCTGTATATTTTTTCAACTAAAATTAAGATTAAAAAAAAACAAAAACATGGGTCAATTATTTTTTAATGAAGCTTCAGAATGTGCAATAAAAAAATATGTGCAACGATCCAATTGTAGTATGTTTACTTCCGAACTAGTGGTAATAGAGCCCTGAAATATCTTCTACAAATTCTTTTTGAGCGTTCATTGCAGTAAAAACTGCTTCATGGAGGCTTTGTTACGCCATTCATTTGAAACAATTAACAATTTTAATTAGCTTATTAAACCTCGAGTGATATAATGAAAATATAAGTATCTAAATGTTAAGTAGGTGTGTTAACATTTTGTTAATATGTCGTAGAGATTGTTTGTGATTCTAAAATTAAGTTGGCAACATTGTAAATCCTAAAAACAGACGATATACATAGATCTGTATTAATAGCATACATAGTTGTTGGTGTAATAAAATAAATAAGAAAATAAAAAGTTAATTATAAAAAGCTCTGTATCGGTATTCTTAACAAACACGCAAAAAGTTTTCAGCATTAGCCTCTTCACAACAGCCTCTGTTTTGCGTTAGTAATCGCGATTGATGTTTTTGTATTCCCAACTATAAATCAGAAAAGATCATTTCTTTGCTTTATTACCGCTACAAAATCTGGTCTATTAGCGAGTATGATAGCAGTCTTCCTGCAACCATTACATTAAGTATTTTATACACATTATAAGTGAAAAAAGGATGTGGAATTATTACTACGCGTTTTAGACACTAATAGCAGTCTCTAATTGCACCAGAGGCGATGAACCATTAGACAACTTCAGTTATAATAACTCAGAAATGTCTCATGGTCATTGAAAAGTTTCAAATTTTGTTCCAGAGGAATGGGTTTAATAAAGGACGAGAAAATGCAAGGCGATCAAGGACCACCAACATGTCACACACTTCCGGGCTTGAGTCCCGGACAAATCCGGCTCTGTCAATTATACATGGACCATATGAATGCAGTGGCTTTGGGGGCCCGACAAGCGCTTTCTGAATGCAAACATCAGTTTGAAAACCGCAGATGGAACTGTTCTTTGCTGAATGACGTTAACGTCTTTGGTCCAGTTATAACAATCGGTAAGATGTTTTTGTTTATTTAAAAAAGAAGCTGCAAAACAAACACTCGGCTTGAATAAAATCACTCGAGTGTGAAAAGGCATTATTACTGTGAGTAGGTGATAATTAATTTTCGTAAGCACTTCATTGGAACAAACAAGAAGAGGTTTCAAGAGGTATTGCGTAAGAACGGTAAACAGGAAGCCAAAAATTTGAGCAACAACTAGTCTAAAATAAGAAACGATGTGGAGGCAGAAAGTTCTATTTAATATTTCTTGCTAATTTGACATTAATACTTTTTACAAAATTGCAGGTGTTTTAATCAACTTAAAATTTAATTTTTTTTACGTTTACATATATTGAAGAACTTTTTCCAATAAATATTAATATTTTTTAGAAATAAGCTCACAAAATTAAAGATTATTTAGAAGGATTCAGTTCATGTAAACGCTATAATATTTTCAGCAAATGTTTTCATAAAATTATAAATGTAAAGCAATTTTTGTTAAAAAAATTATTATTAATAAACAATTAATCGAATAAAATACTTTTGGTACTGTTGTTATACCTTTCTAGAAAATGTCGTTAATTCTTGAAAACAAATTATTAAATTAAATTGGATTTGCAATCGAAATTTGTGCAGTTACAATTTTTGTTTTAAATGTCTTGTCTAAGAAATCACAGTGGGCTTGCACTAGAGAAAATATTACAAAGATTGTCTTAAAAGTTTAATAAGCAATTATGAAATAAAATTTACATAAACGTATACACTAAATAGCTGTAGATTATTGAACTTATTGCAAAAATAATATATTGTATATGTATAAATAGTATATTGTATAAGGTGTAACGAAAATATAGAACATTATTTAAGTTTTTAATCTATAGGGAGGCTTTATTTCTTAAACCTACTTA